GTATCGTATGCCTATAGTCCCAGCTACTCTGGAGGCTGAGGCAGGAGAATTGCTCGAATCTAGGAGGCGGAGGTGGCAGTGAGTCATGATCGTGCCACTGCACTCTAGCTTGGGTAACAGAATGAGACTCCATCTCAAAAAAAAAAAAAAGAAATAATTCTTAATTCAACTACTGCCATGACTTGCATTACTAAGCATAGTTCCTGGCACTAAAAACTCTATTAATAAATGAATCACTGACCAACCTTAGATAGGTTACTCAACTATTCTATAAACATTAACTTCCTATATATAAAGGTAAGCCTTTTCTGGGCTAACTTTCACAATAAGTCTTTGAATTGATTAAGGCACTCTGAAACTGACATCATGACAATCAGAAATAAGGTGCTTCCATTTCATGCAAAAGTCACAGAATATATCATATTCCCCATGTTGAGACTCATCTGACTTGCATCTTAAATATCACTTCCTCCAGAAGGGGTCTCCCAATTCTTCCCTGCCCTGAGGACATTATTGCCCGCTGGGTTATTAACTCTCCCTGAACGCTTTATTTTTATTTTTTATTTATTTATTTATTTATTTTTTTTGAGACAGAGTTTCGCTCTTGTTACCCAGGCTGGAGTGCAATGGCGCGATCTCGGCTCACCGCAACCTCCGCCTCCTGGGTTCAGGCAATTCTCCTGCCTCAGCCTCCTGAGTAGCTGGGATTACAGGCACGTGCCAACATGCACAGCTAATTTTTTGTAGCTTTAGCAGAGACGGGGTTTCACCATGTTGACCAGCATGGTCTCGATCTCTTGACCTCGTGATCCACCTGCCTCGGCCTCCCAAAGTGCTGGGATTACAGGCTTGAGCCACCGCGCCCGGCCACGCTTTATTTTTAATTTGTAGCACACACCGCAACAGTAATTAAATAACATTTGTAAAATATTTGTCCTCTGTTCTGTACTTCGCATATCCTAAGGTGAGGGCACATGGACCTTGCTGATTGACTTCCTATTTCTTGCAACTAGAAGTGCCTGGCACATGGCTGTTCAGTAAATATTTATTCAAACATTTATTTGAACATTTATTCAAATGTTCATAAATTTATTCATTTATTTATGAAAACTCAAAAACTAAATGCCAGCCAATAGTGTCTCTTCAATGTACTGAATAAAAGCACAGGAAGCAAGGGAGGAAACATTAGGTCATCAGAAGCCTAGTTAGTGTTCAGAACATCACTGTTCTCAGTATGAAACTGAGAAGAGTTTTTCCATGGCTGTAATAGTGATTTTAAAAAAGTATGTATCTGTGTACCATCTTACAGCTCTCAAAACACTTTTATGACGTGTAGTCTCATGACTGAAAATATAGAAAAAGTTCATATAGAACTCTCTGAGGATCTAAATGAAGCTTTTAAAGAGTTATGACAGGTATATAACCCATTTAACCTGAAAGTTTTTTATAAATGACTTAGAGGCTGTATGAGAATGTAAGTGTTCACTTCATAATGTTCTCTCAACAAATTAGCTGGAATGAAGTCCTTTTTTTTTTTTTTTTTTCCCCCCAGTTTCAAAGGACTAAAGTAGATGCCAATACCAAATAAAATCTTCAGGCACTGCGGACTATAGGAGCTCTATTTTCTTGAGAGACAAGGGAAGGCACTCTGAGAGCTTCTGCTAATTGCCAAAGGGACTTCCCAGGGATTGTTGGTAAGGTGACCCACACCTCTAAGGTTCCAAAGTAAACTTCCAAAACCTTTTCAAAAGAAGCATAATCTTCAGAATTCTGAGAAGATGAGAGTGGGAGAGATGTCTATTTAAATAATAAACTCAAATGCTCTTTAAAGATCATAAAAGTTTTAAAATCAGCTTTCTATGACTATGTAAAAATTCATGAACAGAAAGACCACAGGGTAGATCCAAATCTAGGCACATATTATAGTAATGGAAGTATTGCAGCTTGCAGAAGTCTATGACAGAGCAGTGGGTTAAATGGGACTTGTATGGGTTCCCATTATGTGCCTTTTAAAAAATAATCTTATTTAAAATAACTCATTCACTTTAGAGGCCATGAACACCTCGTGCAATAACTTAAGTAGCTTACACTTCATCCTATATGACTCTTGAATTCCAGAATAGGACATGTCAAAGCCAAAAAAAAAAATTACCCTGAAATAAAGTGAGCAAAACAAAATACTTGCTTTTTAGAAGGTTTTGATCCATCTCTCTACGGAGTTCTGTTTGGAAATCTGAGTTTGCCATAACGTTAGCTTATAGCGCCATCAAATTTTATGAATGCCAAAGTGCTTTGATATACATTATCTAATCTGATTCACATAACCATTCTGTGAAATACACAGGGCAGGAATGTTACAGACAAAGAACATGAGGTTTCAGGAGGTTAGGTTTCTTGATCGAGGATCATAACTTAGAAGGGTAGAAGAACCAGGGCTGGAAAAGCTTCAGATCCCTAGATCATTGCTGTTTCTGAACAACTGTATCATCCTGGTCCCTAGCCGCTGTTCACTCTTTATCCCTCACCAAAACAAGCAATAAGATAGCAGTACCCTTAGCTTCAAGAACATAAACATTTTCCTCAAAATAATAGTCATATGTCCATTATGTCCCCATATAATGTCAAGTCTTAGAAACCTTATGAAATGATGATTTATTATTCTTGGTCTGGTAGCCAGCTTGCTTAGAGAGCATACCTTTGCATCATAAAAGAAAAATGTTTTTCTTCCTATAAAAGACCAGGGACCTTCCTGACAAGCATTGGAATCACTAAATCCAAGTTGTTCCAGTCTATTCTAGTGTAAGGTTAGGGCTGAAAACTGAGATAAAATAAATGTTGTTAACTACTGAGCGTGGGAAAGGGTGAGAATTTTAAACTTTTTAAATGAGTGACTCAATGTCCTGAAGGGGAAAGAATTCAATTTTTTTTTTTTTTTAAATACAGTCTTGCTCTGTCGCAGAGGCTAAAGTGCAGTGGTGTGATCTCAGCTCACTGCAACCTCTGCCTCCTGGGTCCAAGCAGTTCTCCTGCCTCAGCCTCCTGAGTAGCTGGGATTACAGGTGCATGCCACTACATCCAGCTAATTTTTGTATTTTAGTAGAGATGGGCTTTTACTATGTTGGCTAGGAATCTCAGGTGATCTGCCCACCTTAGCCTCCCAAAGTGCTGAGATTACAGGCATGAGGTGCCACACCCAGCCAAGAGTTCAATTCTTTAGGTAAAAACTTTAAGTATCTATAAATCCTAGAGTTTAATAGGAAAAAAAAATCAACATAAAGTTCTTCGACTTCATGAAAAATCTTGTTTTCTTATCTATAATATACACTGTGCTACTGCATTTGCACAGTATGAAAGTTAAAGATAGAAAGGCTTATTAAGTAAGCTCCACAGAATGTAAGGGTCAAAGCAAGACTGATCCATATAACAGCACTAACTCTAATCTTTGGTAGTAAACATTTGCTTTATTCTTTTAAGTCAGTGGTTTTCACCCTTGACTACATATTAGAATGAGTTTCTAAAAAATACTGGTGCCCTAATCCTGCTCCAGATTAATGAAATCAGAATCTCTGAGAGTTCAGAAACTGGATGGTTCTAGGGTTCAGCTGAAATTGAAAGCCTCTAGTCTAAGTGCTATTCAGTTTCAAATATGATGTCAACATGACGGCACTGCCATATTTTCCTATGGAAGAAATATTTATAAGACCAGGACTAACAGTCACAATAGCCAGAAATATCAAAATTTTACAAGCTGAATGAGTTTATTACTTGGATATAAGGAGATATTCTGAAAGTTAGTCAAATACTATACTTAAATACAAACCATTAAAAAAAGCTTACTGGCCAGGCACGGTGACTCATGCCTGTAATCCCAGCACTTTGGGAGGCTGAGGTGGGTGGATCACAAGGTCAGGAGCTCAAGACCAGCCTGGCCAAGATGGTAAAATCCTGTCTCTACTAAAAATACAAAAATAAGTTAGGCGTGGTGGCGGGTGCCTGTAATTCCAGCTACTCGGGAGGCTGAAGCAGAGAACTGCTTGAATCCGGGAGGCAGAGGTTGCAGTGTGCCGACATAGTGCCACTGCACTCCACTGTGGGTGACACAGTGAGACTCCGTCTCAAAAAAAAAAAAAAAAAAAAAAAAAAAAAAAAAAAAGAAAAGAAAGCAAAGCTTACTGTAACTATATAATGCTCATTTCATTGGCTTAGTATTAAACATTATTTAAAAATGTATCTTACACTGAGTAGTTGCCGATCTTGTAAAATATTTGATTTTTGGAATTTTCCCATAGCTGTAAGTAAGAAAAGGCAAATAAAGAAACCAGAAATACAAGCCACCCTATTACACAGGTATACAAAATCAGTTCAACAGGGAGTTTCCACTGCTCAGAGGACAAAGGACTTCTCAGAAACATTACTGCAATCGTATTGCTCATATCTTACTCAACACAGTACTACTGAAAAGGATGTTGCCATGTTCCCACCTTAACTGTCTTATGTGTGGTTCCTGTGACAGCTGGAGTCAACAAAGATAAGTTTGGCTTCTGGAAAAACCAAAATACTGATCTTCTTTATTTTTAAACTTGCTCTAAAACCTTCCATATTATCTGATTCTAAGAATTTGGCAATAGATGCATATTAGTTAGAGTTAGAGAATGAGTAACTAAATCTGGCCTCAATTTTAGGCTTAAGCAAATAACAATAAAAACAAGTTGCATGCAATTTTTAGCATTTTATAAAAATCTACTCACATTCAAAGAAGGCTTAACTACAATTTTGAGACAAAAAAACAGATTTAATATGCTAATCAACCTAAGTGGCCTAGCCAGGAAAATATTTAGAATTCCAATTTTATGAGACTTCCAAATTAAGAGGAAATTAATAGCTGCTACACTAAGGATAAGGAAACATTAAAGGATAGAGAAGAATTTTGATTTTGTGTTTCTATTTCTCGATCAGTGCGTTATAACCAAATATATAGCCAGTGAGTGGCATAAACTTACATGATTTATCATAGATTGAACAGCCTTTACATAATGGTTTAGTTGCCGATCCATTGCAGCAAATTCAACCATCGCCTTGTCCATACTATATTCACTACTCACTTCAGCTGAAAGAAAAAAAAAAACAATTATTATTTGCCATTTAAAATGCCGTATCTGGAAAAAGTTACATCTGTATAATCTACATTGGTCAATGTCTAAATAATTTTGTAGAGATATTACATCTTAAAAAAAAAATCCCCTTACCATATGGTGCTTCATTCAAAATTCTAAGAATACACTCAGTAGAAGACAGCTCAAAGGCAGTTGTAGGTTGGAAAGAAGACTTGTATTCAGGAGTTCCAGGCTGCACCCTTGCTTATATGATCTTACATCAATCACTACACCTCTCCCAGCCTCAGTTCCCTCATCCATTGCAGCAGCTCAGCCTTATATCTGCTGCACAAACCGTGAAGGATTACTAAAGGGTAAATAGGGAAGATTTCCCACTTTTAATAACAGTGAGCTAGATCATTTGGACCAATCTTACTAATGAAAACAACCAAAGATAGTGGCTGGGCGTGGTGGCTCACACCTGTAATCCTAGCACTTTGGGAGGCTGAGGCAGGTGTGGATCACTTGAGGTCAGGAGTTCAAGACCAGCTTGGCCAGCATGGTGAAACCCCAACTCTACCAAAACTACAAATTTAGCTGGAAATCGCTTGAACCCTGGCAGCAGTGGTTGCAGTGAGCCGAGATCGTGCCACTGCATTCCAGCCTGGGCAACATAGTGAGGCTCCGTCTCAAAAAAAGAGAAAACAACCAAAGATATCAGATAAAGCAGAAAAAATAAATAAATCTTAAAAACAAGAGTCACAGGATAATAAGAAATAACCACGGCAAAATTTAGAATAAAAGAAAAATGAGAAGTGGGGCCACAGAATAAATACCAAAGTCACATACTCTCATATAGTAAGCTGAGATCCCAACTCTTTGTATAAAGATGAACCAAAAGCAAACCCTCCCAGCACCCTGGGACTGAAGGGAGGTTAGCCCTGGCCATGAAGCAGAACAAGGAAGAGAAAACAAACTTGTTTCGGAAAAACTGGCCATAAGGCAGCCCTCCTGGATTTGCAGCCTGGGCTCCCCTAACCTGAGTGATCCAGAGACCCCAATCTCTGATCTTGGTGGGAGGTGGTCTCAGGCACTCACAGGCACCTGGCGGAAGCAAACATAATTACCATCTGGAGAAGACACTCTTAATCTAGGTGTCAAATAATCCCTACAAATAATTTTTGAGAATGAGCAGATCACAGGAGAAAAAGCTAAAACAAAAATAAATATAAAAACAAAAAACCTTACATACCTATAATATACAAGAAAACAAGCCACTAAGAGTAAGAATCAGCAGAAACAGATTCACAAATATTTCAGTTATTGTAACTATATTAGTCAGCATAAGAAACAACTATGTTTACTATGTTTAAAAAATTAAAATACCCTCAGGGAACAGGAGTCTATAAAAAGGAACTGGCAAATTAGAAGAGCCAGGTAATGTTGTTAAAAGTGCTTTTAAACTGTTTCTTCAAGCTCTAAACATAATTTCATCGATTAGGAAAAGATAGTTAACACAGGATCATTAAAATTTCAACTAAAAACTTTGAATTTAAGATAACTAAATGAAACGAAAATAAAGCTGACTTTCTTAAATCACATTTGGGAATAAACCTACTCAAAGACTGTCCATTCAAATACCTTAGCACAGACAAATGTCAGTTTTTCTTGTCTACTCTGAAGAATAATACCACAGGTCATTCCAAAGCCATGAAATAAAGTCCATTATTTACATTTAGCTTTTAAAACATATATTTTAATTTTACAATAGTCACTTATAAGTATATTACACAGACTATCTCCTGGGTTAATATGCTTCTGGTTCCAAGACCTTTTAGTTTTTACTATCTTGGTGGCACCCTCCCCCGGCCCCCAAACTTACATTGAGATGTATATTCTCAATGTAAGTTCAGGGGCCGGAGGAGAGTGTAATGTTTATTTAAGAAAAATTTGTATTTAAATTCCCTAAATTAAATATATGTTTAACAAAATGGCGCATGAGAAAAGGCTCGGGTCATATTCCAAATAAAACCGTTAGATCATTAGAGTCAGAGTTTGTTATTTTGAAAATTTCTGAATGCCAACAAAATGGACATGCTGCTTAGACATTGCTGGTACCAACATGTGGATATTGCTATAGACACAGCAACTGTTTATTAAAAATCATATTGTTTGATGACAAAGAAGTGAATTTTAAACAATTTATATCCTAAGGTAATGGATATTTTGTAATTTATTTAGGCATTTCACTGTACTTAGTTACATTTCAATAAATGGATTAGGGATTTTAGTTAACCTATGCTTTACTTTTTTCATTTAAAATAATGAAAAATTAACTACTGGTTTCATACCAGCCTTATCTAGTTAAATGAAAGCATTGTTTTGTTTTGTTTTTCTTAATGGATCAGTATATTTTATAGGTATTAGATTCTGATAGTGAAACTGGTCAAAAAAGTGGGTAAAGCTGGTAACCTGAACAAAGACCAACAGCATAAGCTGCTTTTCCAAAATTCTGATTAGAGGTGCCCCAAAACTAAATAGGTACCCACTAAAGTATCTGTTGGGAGCAAAAGTCTGAAGCATAAGAAATGAAAGTCTTTAAGGGGCTGAAATCAGTAGAAACATAATGTTAGCAATCTCCCTCTGGGATTAAATGAGTTAATATTTGAAAGTACTCAGAACGTGCCTAAGACATTCAAAATGCTATAGAAGAACTGCAAAATAAAATAAATGAAGACGATAGTTCTCATTTACAGGGTGCCATATATGCTAGGAAGAGCTCTGGTTCAAGGCCAAAGAAACCTTCCTGCAAAGGAGGAAATGGGCAAGGCTTGGGTCAGTTTTGAGGATGTAAAGCTTACGGAAAGAATCTTTGGAGCCTAACTGTGGCTTACAGGCTGTCTCAGTTCAGGCTCCAGGGCCCAAGAATGTTGGGACAAGCTGTTGAAGATCACTAGTAAAGAACAGTGCAGCCTAAGCAACAAAAGGAAGAGGAACACCAGAAGAGATCAGGAAGGTAATTTTAAAAAGAACTGAGGATCACAGCACATCTGGAAGCAGGGTCCAGTCAGATAACTGCAGTCAGGGGGTCTTGGTCTGCTGCAGCAGGGAGCTGAGAGACCAGAGACCTAAGATGGGAACTAGAAGAGCTCCCACAAGAGTATCTTGAAGACAAGTCATGAGAACGTCCCTATCAAGTAGCAACCTGCCACAGCCATTTTAATATGATTTTTGTTCTTCTTGTTAATCTTTATTTCCCGACTGCAGTAATAACCTCTTTTTAAGAACTTAACTTGCATTTATGTTTCTGAAACAACAGACCAGGGAAGGCATCTGTGTCTTGTTCTATAAAAGAAATGAGGTGGGGAAAGAAGAGTACAGTGTTTCATGAAAAAGGCAAACAGGTCAAATAAATCTTAGAGACTTTTGGAGGGGGAAAAAGGGATAAACACACAAACACAGAGCTGGTTACTGACTAAAAAGATGCTGGGGGCTGGGGTAGTTGCGGAGAGACTGATCAGCCAGGGGCTCCCTTGATTCCACAGTGTATCTTCCCACCATCAAAATTCTCCCACTTTCACTGAAAGCCCTTTTTGAGAATATATACCAAATTAAATCCTACACATCCATCAAGGGCTGAGCTCAGGGTTTACCTGCTTTTAAATGATACCAGCCTAGAAGAATGTCCTCTTTCACTTAATTTGTCTTAACACCTATGCTCTTGATATTTTGGCACCATGACGAATCTTGCCTTTCTTATCTACATGTTTCCTTTCACCAAAGAGATTTTAATCCATTTGAGCACAAGAATGATTTAGTGTTCTTAGGATCCAACAAAGAATTACAGCAACTCTTCCTTCGATATTCTTCTAAGGCTACTATAGTTTCATAAATTTGAAAATTAAACTTTCACTAAAATATAAATTGTCCTATCGAAGAGATTCAACTGAATCAAAATGTAAAACAGAACATGTGATATCACTTCACTTGCCTATTTTATATTTTCATTGTGATTTTCTCATAGGAAAAAAGATGGCACCAGCACTAGGGTGGTGGGTAGAAATCAAGAGCGATGTTCAAATTCACAGAATGATGACTCCAGAGAGAAAAGCATTGCTGTACAACACTTCTGCAAGTCTGGCATTAGGGAAGTTTAGTGCAGATGATAAAACATGGGAAGTAATGACAAGGATTTTACCTGTATATATGCATATATTACCTGTAGCTAACAATTACAGAACACTATTATGTGCCAGCACTTCATATTTACATCAAATCTCAGAGCAACGTAAGAGTTAGGTAGTTTTATTTCCACTTTACATAAGAGAAAACTAAAGCAACTTGCTCAAGGCCACAAAGGTGGTAAGCAGCAGTGCCAGGCCTCCCACTCTGGCTTTCTAACTGCAAAGTCTGCATACTTGCCCACCTGTGCAAAAAGGTATTTAAACACAAGAAGGACAAGCACCTCCAACTCCTCCATGAATATCCAGGGAACAAACCTTCAGGCAGGAGAAAGTCAAAGAGCCTCAGCTCAGCTCCCTGGCGATCTGTTAGCATAGAACATTTCCAAGGAGGACACTAGGCAATGCCACTCAGCGGCTATCAGACATGAATCTGGAAAGCTCTTTCCAAATTCCTTAAGGAAACTGATAACAAAAAGAAAAGGACTTTCCCCTTTTTCAAAGATGAGTAAGTTTTGACATTAGTGAAAACTGACCTCTCATATCGGCAAAGCTAATGTGAAGCGCTGTAAGAGCAACCAAGTCATCCAGAGAATGCTAGGAGAATAACTAAGTCAACTTCAGCTGCTAAGAGGTCAAGCCTGAACTAGGCCAAGAGTACCAGCAGCAAGAGATGAAAGCAGCTACAGACTGACTACCAGACAGCAAATGAAGAGCAGCAGGAGAGAAATGTTCAGGGGAAGGGAGAGTACTGGAAGGCTTCGGGTTGCAGAATTACTTCTGAATACAGCTTGAAGTCAAAAACCACTTTTATTAGCCACACATTTGACTCC